TGTTGAAGGTACGCAGTAGCTGCCGGTCAAATGCTGCTTCAGAGCAGTCGGCTGAGGCCGAGCGCCAGCCGATGTGAGGTGCATTTAAATCTCCAACGATGAGAGAAGTCGGCCGCGTTGAAAATAATCTGAGCTCCTCCAGCAGTTGGGCATCAGCGTCAGGGTGATTCCTCGGGAAGCGATATACTGTCAAGATATCGAGACTTTGAGAGCCCGGTGCCCTTATGGTCAGCCATAATGCTTCGGTACTACAAGTCATTCGGGCAGTTTTTTCTGAAACTTGCAAGCCATTCTTAACAAATGTTACTAGGCCTCCACTCCTTCTGTTTTCTCTGTCTCGGCGGAACAGTTGATACCCAGGGAGCATGAGCTCTCTATCATCAACCTGTTCGACAACAGTGTTTCTGTTATTGAGATAACGTCTGGATGGAGGTCATAGGCATGGATACGGAGTTCGTCCAGTTTTGAAAGTACACTTTGCGCGTTGGTATACATGAATCTGAGTTTCGAGTTCATGCGATATGTAGTGACAGTAGTGTAAGAAGTAACAATAATAGCAGTGGTAGAAGTAGTGTCAGTGGAAGTTGTGGGAAAAATAGTGATAGCGTTTTCAGTAGTAGCATCAGTAATAGAGGTAGATTTATTAGTAGTAGTAGTAGTCATAGTAGAAGAAGACGTAGTTGTAGCAGTAGTAGCGGAAGTATTGGTAGTAGTAGTAATAGTAGAAGTAGTAATGGTAGTAGTATAAGTAGTAGCAGTAGTAGTGGTACTGTTGGTAGTAAAATCAGAGGTAGTAGCAGAACTATCGCTTCTACTGCTGCTACTGGTAGTTATATTTATATTACAGGCACTGATATCACTTCAAGTGCTACGAGTACTACTACTGATAGTAATAATACTGCAACTATCAGTCTTTCGTCTACTACTACTGCTGCTGCTACTACTACTACTACTACTACTACTACCAATACTAATACTACTAGTCAGTCACTTGCGAATCCATCGCACAGAGACTGGCGAACCAGTGCCAGAAGCACCAACCTACACCCACCGCACCCGCCTCCGCTGCCCTCCCACATTCACGCATCGCACGGGCCTGTTCGGCCACATGCGCAATGTGCTAGTTTCTTTTTATTTTTAAGCCCGGTTATATACCTGACTGTACTTTTCATGGAAACAGCCTCGTGGTCTTAACATACAAAAGACAAAACCTTCAACGAATAGTTTAATTCAAAGGAAATATTTCCCTCAGACATACTGCGTTCATTACGACGAGTAAGCAAAGATACGATCGTTATGATATTGCACATGCATGACATGCCTNATATGCACAGTTGACGGCTTAAACCAGGCTGTCAGCCCATATCTCGCGCAGGATAAGTGCTTCTCTGAGACCGCTGTGCTGATTGGTCGAAAATGGATAGTTCAAAGGTGACCCAAATATCGATTATTTCTACAGTGTTGACCGTTCAGCTCCAGGCAGTCACTTGAGAATTATTCATCTCTTGTTGTGCAGCATTCTAATTCTACTAATAAAAACGTATGAAAGTCATAAAAAGAGGAATACCTATTTTACGCCAACAGAGGGGTGTTCCGTACTACTAAGTGAAACAGTTGGTAAGTGTGTGTGAGTGTAAGACTGGAATGGTAATGTTTTGCAAATCATCCTGCTGCTGCCGTCTTTTGCTTTTTGTAGGAACTATAGGGCCAGTTACTTACAATGCAGCTGTTACAACTGTAGGCTTAGTCCCTGTCCTCCATAGAAATGTGGCAATCGTAGGGCACTCAAGGTAAGCATGATGTCGGTTAACGTGGGATTGCGCTTTCCAATATGTCTACTGTTTTGTATGTCACATTCCGCATAAGGATGCAAGTCGAACTCTAATGGCTTAATGGTCTAACGTTTTCTGCCCACAGACGACTGAAATGGAAAGAGGAAGGAAAATGTCTTATTAACACAAGTGGGGAGAAGAACCAGAGTAACGAAGAAAAATCAAAGAGAGGGGATAAAACGGATGAGGCGCGGTTACCAAGGGATTATTGCTATTACTTCTACAAAGACGGAGCATTTGTTCCTATAAAGATTGAAACCAGAAGGAAGGAAGTCGACGATGGAAACCAGAGGCCGCTAGAACCAAAATCCTACTTGCCTACCGCACTGGCGAATTGGGACTTTTCAAAGAATTGGCATGGTGCGCATGGACGACGAGCGACTACCCAAACGACTCTTCTACGGAGACGTCGCGACGAGCTCTCGCCGCCAAGGAGGCCAATTTCGTCGATACAAGGATACTCTGAAGTCCTGCCTGAAGCATCTGCAAATTAACCCGACTAACTGGGAAGAGCTCGTCCTCGACCGACCGACCTGGAGGGGAAAAGTGAAGACAGGCGCTGCGATCTATGAGGCCAACCGAATCGCCGCTGCCAAAGTGAAACGCGAAGCACGCAAATCACAGCTACGCCCCGTCCGTAACGCCGACGTACAACCGCTTCCAAAGTGTCCTCGGTGTAAACGGACATTCCGGGCACGAACTGGACTCATCGGACATCTTCGGACCAACTGCACATCCCATACCGCACCAATCGCCGCCCCTCCGCCCGCCTCTGCATCGTCCTCTCCACCGTTAACCAACTATGACAATTCTTCTGAACCAGCACTTCCGTCCTCCCCCTCCTCCTGCCCCATTTCACCAACCACGGCCGCGCTGGTGGCCCACACTCACACCAGCATCACACACATCTATGACACAACAACAGACACCATCCCTCCAATCTCCGACTCCAGGGGTGAGGACCAGGGCTTCACCTGCCCTCACTGCGACCGCACCTTCACATCACACATCGACCTGGTCAGTCACTTGCGAATCCATCGCACATAGACTGGCGAACCAGTGCCAGGAGCACCAACCTACACCCACCGCACCCGACCCCGCTGCCCTCGCACATTCACGCATCGCACGGGCCTGTTCGGCCACATGCGCATCCACGAGAGCGGAATTGACCGTCCACCCGGCTAACCCACCACGCTAAACCCCATCCCCACTTCATCACCCTTTGCGCCCATCATCGTTTTTGCAACTGACCCCGACACCACCGACTTCGCCTGCCCACACTGTCCACGCACATTCACCTCTCGCCTCGGCCTGGTCGGTCACTTGCGAATTCATCGC